AATGAATGCATCAAGTTGAATGGCACATTGGCAGTGTTTGATGGTGTGGATTTGAATAGCTACAAGAAAACGTGGGTGCAATCATTAGCGAATGGTAATTACTGGATTGGATTGGCGAAAGGACAATTTATGTGGGATCACTCAAGTTTGTTACATGCTCTTATACAAACGTCAATTTAATAAAGTTAATATTTGTTGACGCGTCTGCAGATAGTTTTGTTAATTTCTCTCAATGGAGAGATAGAAATCTCAATTTGAGTTTTTCATGCTCCGTCATCTACAACGACCAACCTAGCAACCTGAAAGTTTGGGTGAACCTAAATTGTCCAAGATATTCATACGTTGTTGTGTGCATGAAAGGTATGTCCAAAAAAGTTGGGTGATTATGACTGGTGATTTGAATACTTCATTTTAAGATAGCACACTGTTAACGACAACAACAAACATTCCACCTTTCATAGCAACGGAACAGGAGGTTCTAAAAAACCCAAGTAAGTGCACTTTTTCAAAAAACTTTAAAACAAAGTGTTAATTTTTGTTACTTATAGCTGACGTCTGATAATAGTTTGAGGTTTTTATTAAATCATTAGCAACTTGTAAATTAAACATTATAAATATTAACAATGAATTTTAGTAAATTTTAATAAAAATAAGGGTTTTATAATTTAAAAAAAGCAATTGTTAATTTAAGATAACCATGTTAATTCAATAATTTTAATCAATTTTATTCGATCTGATTTGACGAAAATAACAAATAACTTTTCACATCATATTGAAAATAAATTGTTATAATCATGAAATTATGTACAAATCATGTAATTAACGTGTAATTTTATTTACAAAGCTCTAACATCTCCAGCAACATCATTAGAAAGCCAAATAACAGCTCTAGGCATTGGAGTTGGTGTCGGAGTGTCTTTCTTCGTGCTGCTGGTAGTAGCAGGTGTTGTCGGTTCAGTAGTGGTCTGCTTGTGGAAGAAGAAAAAAGGATGGTTAGAAAATATATCCGTCAACTTTGCGAATTTGTCATTAATTGTAAATATTCAAAACTATTCGATATTAATCAGGAAAAGTAACAAATTTTATATAAGAAGGAATATTTGAATGAAATATGAAAAATTTGGCGAGTTATTTTCATTCCAACAGTTTCAGATCACTTACAGAAGTAGCGTCAACAAGATACCAACCTGACGACAACGCAGAGAGCACAGACACGTATGCAACAATCGACACTAACATCGAGAACAACGACGTTGACGATTCTCATGAGTACAAATCTCTTGAATATAAACCTTAAGAACAATTTTTGAAACTTTTTATAAATTTGGATTCAAATATTCTGAATTGATACAAAGAGACTGAAGATGTTTTGCGGTTTTAACTTATTAATATTCAGTTTTTTGTTGAAATTGGAGATTTATATTGAATTTAACAAATCTTATTTCACTAATTTGTTCTTTTAGCTTTTATTTAATCTTTAAAAGAATACGTTACATTTATTTTTATTTTGCAATTTTAAAATACGCAAAAGTTTTATAGAAATGATTAATTTCATTGTATTCATTAATGAGGGTCTGATTTAAATTTTTGCGACAACTTCTCTAATAATTAATTCTATATTTTCCACAGAATAAACTCGTTACTTCAATCAGTAAAATTTCAATTCTAATTTGAATGCAGACCGTTCACGAGACACCTGCTTTTAACAAACTGCGAAACATGTCACAATAAATTTCTTCGAATAAACTTTTTTTATAACATCAAAGCAAACAAAAAAAATTATAAATAGTGTTAACTTGTTTAAGAATTTAAGAATTTTCCTCCAAAAATTATCAGCATTTGACGATTGTTTTATTAACGCGTTCGATCATATTTTATAGCAATGATCAAGTTTTATTTACAATGTATAAACCGATATTTTATGAGACACATACTATATTTTTGAATCGTGATTTCAAGAATCTTCAATTTTAAGAATATGTGAGCTTAGTTAAAATTCATGACATGACAGTAAACATTCGTTATAAATAGGAACAACACGTTAAAACAAACTTTCCAACCTTCATACAGTTGAATTTTCCTGAATATAAATAGAATTCATTGTATAGCCTGCTTGCGCATGGAGCTTCTTTGTTTCTCAAGTAAACTTTCTCACGTTCTTGATTTGCTGATGAAGTGTGATAGTTATCGGCATTTGAGATATATAACTGTTGGGAATGTTAGTTACATCTGTAGCACTTCCTTGTTCAATTTGAAATTTTGTAAAATGTTTCTCTTATCAAATACCATGAAATTAATTTTTTTAATTTTCGGTTTTAATTTGTTTGATGTACATGCAGAGTTAAGTGATGGAAAAGAATTAAAGTCATTATGTAACGATAGGTACTGCTTGTACTCCAATGGAACATCAACTTCCTACACAAGTGTTGATGAGATGAGAGGTGTTTGTACAGGCTGGAACATGAGTGTTTGGTTGTTGGAGGTGTACGATGCTGAGCTTCAAAATTTGACGGAACGATTTATCGATATTTACAATTTTAAAGATAAAAATATTCCATTGAATATGAGAAGAAACACGCAAGGATGGATGTGGATCAACAACCAGCCACGTTTGTTCAGTTTATTTCACGAAAGTCAATAAATTTTGTCAATTATATTCAAATTGTTACTGAAATTGTTTCAGTTTTGAATCAGACGTCAATTACAAATCAATATGAAACTAGGAGTGTTTCTTACATGTTAAAAAGCCCAAATTCTGACAAAGTTGAATATTTGGGTGCTGGAAACGAAAACACTTGTGAGAGAGCTATTTGTCAAATTTTAAGTTTGTGTTGTTTCATATTTTTCAGGCAAATATATAATTATTCAAGAAAATTTAAAGTATTTTAAAAAGTAATTTAAAAGTTTAAATAAAAAAACATTTACTAGCTTTTAAAACAACCAAACTGGCATCTCTTTCAATTTTTTAACTAGAACTATCATTGTAATAGAATGAAAACTAATGTTAGTTCATAATTTGTTCATTTGTTTTTTAATAAACTCATGCACAGAAACGACTAATTGCAAAACGAGCGAGAGTCTACAGTATAAAAACTTTTGTTATTTGCCAATTTTGAGAGAGCCAATGTATTGGCACGAAGCTCAAAATGAATGCATCAAGTTGAATGGCACATTGGCAGTGTTTGATGGTATGGATTTGAATAGCTACAATAAAACGTGGGTGCAATCATTAGTGGCTGATAAATACTTGATTGGATTGGCCCGAGGACAATTTATGTGGGATCACTCAAGTTTGTTACATGTTCTTATACGAATGTCAATTTAATAAAGTTAATTTGGTTAATGCGTCTGCAGACAGTTTTGTTAATTTCTCTCAATGGAGAGATAGAAATCTCAATTTGAGTTTTTCATGCCCCGTCATCTACAACCTGAAAGTTTGGGTGAACCTGAATTGTCCAAGATATTCATACGTTGTTGTGTGCATGAAAGGTATTTTCCACAAAACCTGATTCATCAAAAAATAACGTATTATTAATTTGTTCCAGAAAACCCAAATATATCTCTGAACACCGGAAAATCACTTATTGTATCTGGGAATTATACGACACCTAGCACAACATCAGCAATAATTAACGTTAACATCACCAAGGACCCCGGCTTCAGCAGTATGTCATACTTTCGTAACCAACCTTTATCAAATATTTTGTATTTAGATCGAAGTCATACATTATTCAAAATTAAAATATTACATAAATCCTTTAAATCCTAAATCACGCCAGCAAAACTGGGTGAACAACAAAACATCAACTCTATGGCCATCGGAATTGGAGTTGGAGTGTCGTTGTTTGTGTTGTTGTCGGTGGCTGTAGTTGTGCTGGTTGTCTGCTTGTGGAGGAAGAAAAAAATGTGGTAGTTGAATTAATTTGGCTAATAATTAGTCCTAGCAATTGTTGTATTTAAGTTTTTTTAGAAACAACATTTCCATTGTTTTTATTATAAAAATTTTTAAACGCATGTGAATTTGAGGACAGTTTTGTATTTTAACACAAAAACAAAATGTTTGCTAGACATTTAAAAATTATTTTGAAAAAAAGTAGCA